GGAATGTCAAACGGGGTTGTGCAGGTTCTGTAATTGATCAGAAGTACCAGGAGGCACTAAGACCGTAAGGCTATTGGGAGTTTTAGAAGAATGTCAAGGTAAGGCGTGTAGAAACCAGAGATGGAAGATTCGGGGTTTTTTTTTATTTTATTTTATTATTATTAGTTAAGGTATTACAAATGTGTCCTCAATCCCCCCATTAACCCCAACCTCCCCCGGAAGATTCATTTTTAAAGAAGGTTGACTTCTAAGACTAATTATTTCTTTAAGGCATTTTCAAGTTACTCTATAAAATAATTTTTAAAGAGAGGAAATGAAGAGATTAGTACGGCCCTAGCCAGTTTGGCTCAGTGGATAGAGCGTTGGCCTGTGGACTGAAGGGTCCCAGGTTCAATTCTGGTCAAGTGCATATGCCCGGGGTTGTGGGCTCGATCCCCAGCAGCGGTGTGCAGGAGGCAGCCGATCCATGATTCTCTCTCATCATTGATGTTTCTCTCTCTCTCCCTCTCCCTTCCTCTTTTTCTAAATATCAATTTTTTAAAAATCTATATATATAAAAGCCAAGCGACCAATACAGCGGAACAACTAGAACAACCAGAATGACCGGTGTCTATGACGCATACTGCGGCAGCCAACCAGCCTGATCCGGGCCCCAATCGGCACCCACCCCCGGCTGGCCCTGCCCCTGCCCCTGATCACCACCCCCCATTGGGGGCAGGACCGGCCAGAACCCACCCATGCACAAATTCGTGCACCAGGCCTCTAATATATATATGAGATTAGTACATGATTTTCAGTGGGCCATTTTGTAAAACTTACACTTTTTTCTTTTTTGGTTAATCCTCACCTGAGGCTATTTTCCCATTGATTTTTAGGGAGAGTGGAAGAGAGGGAAAGACAGAGAGAAACATTCATTGGTTGCCTCCTGTATAAGCCCTGATCTGGGCTGGGGAGGAGCCTGCAACCAAGGTACATGCCCTTGACCGGAATCGAACCCAGGACCCTTTGGTCCGCAGGCTGACACATTATCAACTGAGCCAAACCGGCTAGAGCTAGGCTTTCTTAAACCAAGAAAAATTTAAATGTCTACCGATTCTGAGAGGCAATCTAGACAAAGACAATACTCCAGGTGCAGAAACTGAATGGTTCCATCCTATTCCAGTAGGGTTCCCTTTACAATGACTGTCACAAATGTACAATAAAAAAACTGGCTCACCATTTTAATAAGTTTAAGCTTTGGTTCCTGAGATAACATAAGCAGGGTCACTTTTAATATCTGGGGGGAAAAAAGAAAAAGAACTCTCAGGACATTCCCATATCAAGTTGAAAGAAATCTGGTCAGAAGGCTATTTGAAAATGGAATATTCAAATTATGACTTGGCGATCAGGAAGTTGTTTAAATAATTGAAAATGAAGAATGAGCTGCAAGAAGTGGCTCTTTGGTGGTTATCTTTGTTTCAATTGCCAGGAGCAAGAAGTAGGCTTTAAAAATAGACTCCCCAGGACAGAGCCAGTGCCTCTGACAGGCTCTCAGAGGCAGGATTCTAGAAATTCCAATCATTTAACAAATTGTGCCATTAAAAGTCATAATAGGTCTAAGAGCCATTCTTCAAAGAACTTACTAAGTAATTTGACCTACATAATCATCTTGTTAAATTCATTTGATATCATGAGACAGTTAGTGAGATATGCATAGTGCATTATATTAAAGAGAGGAGCACCCTTCAATTGGTATCTGATGTGCACTTTGCAATCGCAGCTCTTAGCTGTCTGTAAAAGTCCTAGACATGATTGGATTGGATTGGATGACTGTTCTATCATTTTACTTTGTAACACAGGGGTGGAGATTACAGGTCTGCTAGTGCTTACGAGGAAATATTTAACGAAGGATGTTTTATTTATTAGCATAAAGAGACACAGTGGGTTATCGGGTGATTAACGTGCTGATGTGGCTGGCGTACTTGTCAAAAGTATAGCTCTAATTCGATAGCAAGGCGACAGCCAGTCTCTGAGTTGATGTATGCCTGCGCAAACCGAGTCTGAAAGCAGGGCACTGCCCACTTAAAAGGATCTTTGTGAATTTCTGTAATTGCACATTATCAAAAACAAACAGCCGCCGCCGCCGGCCCACTGAGCGATTGCTCCATTGTAAATCTGCCTTCTCTCTGCCAGGAGCCCCTGCATTGTAGCTTTTGCATCCCTGACATCCCAAATCAATAACAGGGAACGCTATTTAATGCTACTAATCTACGTGGGAAACACAATGTTTTCATAAGAAGTAAATTGAGGAGAGAATTCAACAAAGGAGCAAAGGAAGAAAAGAACTAGCATTTATCGAGTGCCTGCTGTGTACCAGGCTCTGTGGGGCCTCGCAAATACTGGCAGGCCATCTCGTTGGATCCTCCACAAAGCTGCACGGCAAAGGAAGAAACAAATTGATTTTTAACTCTCGAGTTGCACACATGTTCTGTTTTGTCCTTTGCTTTCCTTTGGTTTGTGTATGTAAGCCCTGCGAGTAGCTTTCCGCATCAGAACTACTTTGCTCCCGGTTGGGAGGGAAAAGTTGTTAATATCACTTGTCCACAAACAGACGGACTGTAATTAGTGTTCACATTTTATCAATTTTTAACTCTTGCTCAGAGGACACTTGATCGGGATTTTACTCAGGCACAAAATGTACCTTCTAAAACACTGGCTCTTTGCCAACCATGTGAGTTTAAAGAAATCTCGTAAGATCATTAACGACATCACATACGTGATCAATTTTTCTTTAATATTTGTTAATTGTATTATTTGCCTTTCAGGAAAAATGTAGGGCTATTTCAGGGTAGAAATATTACAGAGTCTGGTTTGTTTTAGGCTACAAGCCAAGCTGTGGGACCCTTTGCCAATGATTTCCACGTGCTAAAAGCTGAAATTGACCCATTACCACATCATCCTTAGGAGCTGTCTAGTTTCCAGCGCCCTCTGCTGGTCTTCTGTGAGTTTATCACCCTCCTAACTCAGCCTGGAGAGGAACTGCTCCTCAGGAAAGGGTCATCCAGATCAGAGTCAGACCCTCAGTCTCAGGGTTCAGAACTTGAATGCTGGTGGTAAGCCAATCTCTTGGCAGGCTCTGGGTGCCGGTGGTCCCCAACTAACTCCCCGGAATGCTCTCTCCATCCCGACCTCTCCCCCAGGCTCCGGGGTTCCTACATCCAGCTGCCTGTGTTCGTGGACCACCGCTCTCTCTGCTGCTCAGCCCCCAGACCTAGAAGTTGGCTGTGACGTCTTTCTTTCCCTCGCCTGGCACACAGTAGGCCCTTTATAAATACCTGCTGAATAAACTGAATGAATAAGGAAGCAGAGATGGGAAGCAGAACTTCAGGCTGTTCATTCACCAGGAAAAAAATAGAAAAGCATCTATGAAGATGGAAAGAACGTCAGCGCGTTATTTCCAGGTGGGCAGCCCACGGTGGAGAGGGAGGCCGGGGCCAGTTTGTCCCTGCTGGCCCTCCCTGCGTGAGGCAGCACTGGCTCCCTTCTGATTCCCACAGCGGCCCGGCGGCAGGGCGGGGCGTCTAAGCTAAGTTCCCATTCCCTCCTTGCTCCCTGAAACTGCACGCTGGTTAGTTCCTTCCTTGTGATGGGCCTGGATGGCCGCTGAACCCCCGGTCTGTTTATGGGCCGTCCCGGGATGTGTCTCACGCCTTTCAGGAGCTCATCCGTGTCCGGACGTGTGGAGCCTTACCAGTGTCACCACTGAGGGTAACTTTTTCCTTGCTCTGGGAGACCCTCACGTGGCCCCTTTGGCCACTGACCACTGATCTTTTTTAAATTTTTTTTAATCCTCACCCCAGGATATTTTTCCATTGATTTTTAGAGAGAGTGCAAGAGGGAAATATCGATACGAGAGAAACACATTGATTGGTTGCCTCCTGCAACCGGGGTGGGGAGGAGCCTGCAACTGAGGTACGTGCCCTTGACTGGAATTGAACCCAGGACCCTTCAGTCCACAGGCTGACGCTCTATCCACTGAGCCAAGCCGGCTAGGGCTGGCTACTGATCTTTATCGGCAAAACTTGGTAAATAAAATTTGACATACTTGCAATTCAGAGTATTTTCTAAATTATCTGGGCTAGTTTGATTTAAACAGACACCCTTTGAGATATATATATATATATCCTATCTAATAATAGAGAAACATGGTAATTAGCCGTACCTCTGCTACCCTTCCCATTGGCTAATCAGGGTGATATGCAAATTAACTGCCAACCAAGATGGTGGCCAGCAGCCAGGCAGCTTGAAGTGAACAGGAGGCTTGCTTGCTTCAGTGACGGAGGGCTTCAACGTTCCCCGCCTGCTGCTGCCGGCCTCTGAGCCTGCCGTTTGAAACATTGTTACAAATATAGAAGCTAAAAAAAAACCCCAGAAACCAGCTTTCAGCGAGCTGGGATCTCAGAGCTGGAGTCAGAGCTGGAGTTATACATT